AGGTATATCTACTGTGAGCTTTGTGAATATGTTTGTATGAATGCTTGAACCCCAGTTAGTATCATTTGACCTGGTTCTTGGTTTGTCTGCTGAATAAAACACACTTTGGAGTACACCATGCATTGGCACTGAATGAAGAATACAACCATAGTGCATTTATTTGAGGCTATAGATTTTTAGACATTGCATTTGATGAGGTTTGATACATTTTGACCCTTAGTACTTCTTTTAACACAATTGTGGGGATTTGCAGTCTTTAAAAGTCTTTGTGAGTTTGAGGCCAGCCTGGTCTATAGAGCGAGGTCCAGGAAAGGCACAAAGCTACACAGATAAACTCTGTCTCGAAAAACGAAAAAAAAAAAAAAGTCATTTTGGACTCCCTTTCTTTTCTTCTTTCTGTCTATAGAATCTCCATTACATGGGTTGCTCAGACTTGGGGGTTGGTAAGAGGGCTCAACAGGCGCTTGCTGCCAAACCTGTCGACCTGAGCTCAAACTCTGGAACCTACACGGTAGGAGAGAACTGACTTCTGAAAATTGTCTTCAGACCTTCACATGTGTCTCCAACCCCTCCCCCAAATAAATGTAATAACTCTGGCCATGGATAAGCTGCCCCATGTCCAATGTCCAGAATTTATTTTATTCCTTTGTCACCCTTGTGACAGTGATAAATTTAGAGATGGACACTTACAAAATCAAGCAAGTGCTCATTCTTCTTAGAACGACTCTGCTGTAATTACAAGGAAAGATGGATCTTTCTGACTGGCATTTTCTGAGCTGGTTGGGTGCTAGCCTGTCACTGATGAGGTTACCTTGGTGACTCAGGGATAGGAGAAAGGCTCAGGGCTGGAGGGCAGACCTTGATGACATCAGTTGAGCCTTAGCTCTTAGCTCTCCTTTTGTCTGAACTGTGCTTACCCCTAGAATGTCTGACCAGGCAAATCTACAAATCTACCAATTTATTTCTGCTTTAGCTGGTTTAAATTATGTTTCTGTAGATAATTTCTAATGTATAAATAGTTCACTGAGTACAGTTAAAGCAAGTTTCAGCTTCTACTTATGATAAGTGGTGATTCTTTGCTCTCTTATTAAAATTGTTTATTTGGCACCTGAAGCTTTGCAAGGCAGCTGGACCTGCTGTATTTGCGATTTCTCCCTGTGTGAGTTGTGGGGAGAGAAGAGTGGGTGAGGGGATGGAGGACACACAGCCCGTGACTCAGACCATCACTCTCAATGGGAAGGGAAATATGATGTCACTTATTGTCAGAAGTACCCATGTTACCCTTTGAAGCCACCCTGGGTTTCCAGGCTCTCCAGAGCATCACTCCTTTGTCCCTTTTTTTCTCTTCATTTGAATATGCTTTATAGGAAAGACATCTGTCTAAGGTGTGGGCAAGTTCACTTTTATCACTTACTAGTGCAACGCTTAAGTGAGTATCAGAAGACTGAAATTCACTACTATATATTCAAACACAAGAAAATTAAACAGCTCAAAAACAAGGGAAGCAAAGACATATTTTCCCCATGGCCACCTGGTTCCCCATCTGCTTTTCCTTTTTACCCAGTGGACTTAGGGAGCAGTGGTTTGCTTCCTGGCTGTCTTCCAATCTAACTCTTGGTTTTCTCAGAAATGTCTTAGAATAAAAATTTGGACTTTACAAATAACCCCTGTGCATTACATAATTGAAAATTAGATGTAATTGTGAAAATTAAGTGGTAAGCCTATTACCTGCCTTGGCTACACACATAGGAAGAATACAATAAACTTAAGAATCTAAAATGGATGTAATTATGTATATATGCTTGATCATCAAAGAAGTCAGCCAAAGAGGTGTCTGATTCCCTTTCCAAATCAAGTAGGTCAGTATCGGGGGGCATTTAGAAGTCTTTGCAAAATAGAGTTGACACACTATAATCATTTAATGGCACAAATTCCCGTTAGCATAACTGCTGCATAAATAATGTTCATTATAGTGATTAGAAACGTTAATTTCTTAGAGCAATCAAAATTTTCTTTCATCTCCTATAGCAGCAGTTTTTAAGCTGCAGGTTTATGACCCATGAAATCAATTTAGTAGAGTACAATCAGCATCCAGGAAATAGATTAAAAGAGAAAATATTCAATTTCCTTGCCTATTGTCCATGTAAACATCATCCCAGATACCTTAATTTCAATTTTTCAAAGTGCAATATGTATAACTACTTGATTATGACATAAACTGTATTTCATTTTGTAAAATATCATGCTAAAAAAGTTGGAAGACAGGTATTCTACAGTATGACAAATGAACTCTCGGGCTAACCTGAAGATGATGCGTAATTTCTAGTTTTACAAATTGTTAAAAACAGGTGTTTTTATCGAACAGTCATGGTCACTATGTTTTTTTTTTTTTTTTTTAACTGATACTTAGATCCCCCTTCCCATTTGCTATGAAATTTGTTCCTGGCATTTGTTGTTGTCAATGAAATGGGGAATATCTTGGTGTCTGTATGAGCTCTCAGGTTTGGACTGAACCCTTGGCTAGCCAGCTCCTCTTGGGCACACTCTGACTGGCTCCATACCTCAGCTTCCTTACTTATAAGTGATTAACCGGTAGGCTCACTATTGGGCAGAATCAATGAATGAATGCACTAAAAGCTCTTCACAGTTCTGGGCACATAGGGAGTCTTCAACAAACGTTGTTTACTGATGCTATTATTTTCCTCATTATCTTTATATGAGAATAGAAAATATCAGAGTTTCTTTTTTTATTTTTTTTATTTTTTTTTAAATTTATTTTGCAATACAATTCAGTTTTACATATCAGCCACGGATTCCCTTGTTCTCCCCCCTCCCGTCCCGCTCACCTTCCCCCCAACCCCCCCCCCCCCATTCCCATCTCCTCCAGGGCAAAGCCTTCCCCACAGACTGAGGTCAACCTGGTAGACTCAGTCCAGGTAGGTCTAGTCCCCTCCTCCCAGGCCGAGCCAAACAATCCTGCATAGGCCCCAGGTTTCAAACAGCCAACTCATGCAATGAGCACAAGATCTACTCTGGTGATGGGATGGCCAAACACCCTAATTGTTGTGCTAGAAACCTCATCCAACTACTGAGGGATCTGGATGCAGAGATCCATGACTAGGCCCCGGGTGGATCTCTGGGAGTCCAATTAGCGAGAATGAGGAGGGTTTATATGAGCGAGAATTGTTGAGACCAAGGTTGGATAAAGCACAGGGACAAATAGCCAAATGAATGGAAACACATGAACTATGAACCAATGGCTGAGGGGTCCCCAACTGGATCAGGCCCTCTGAATGGGTGAGACAGTTGATTGGCTTGATCTGTTTGGGAGGCTTCCAGGCAGTGGGACCAGATCTTGTGCTCATTGCATGAGTTGGCTGTTTGAAATATCAGAGTTTCTTGCATCAAAGTTTTATCTTTGCCTCTGATAAAGGTAGCATAAAGCCCAGAGTGTATTTTGTGGTTCAGCCTAAGCATGGCCCTCCACACGGTTAATTCTCCTTCCCAGCATTTATATTTGTAGTTGAAATGAAACGTCTTACAGAAATGCTCAAGTTGGGCTACAGCACACACTATGAGGGGTTGGGAATCTCCTGAAATGTGATCAGGTGTCTGGTGACTGCGTATAGACACTCAGCGAATGGGCAAGGAAGCCTGACTATCATGTTTGTCTAAGGGTCTCATGTTGTGTAGTGAGGAGTCAGGTATGGTGGACCTAAGTCCAGGCCTAATAATAGTTTTCATTACTCAGCAGGTTACTTCACCTTTGTAGCTTTTATTACTCCACTGGCAAAGAGAGATTAAATTAATTCCTGCATCACATAGTTGTCTCTATGATTGTTTACCGTAGTTGTAAAGAGCTTGGTACAGTCACTGCCACATACTAAGTCCTCAAGAGAATATCGATAGTGAAAGAGGAGTAATGTACTAGAGACAGAGAATGAAGTAACTTCCCCCTTAACTATGAATTATGTAACACCGATTCTACAACTGGATCGCTGAGTAATCCATTCACTTCTTTATCCAACAAAAACTGAATGCTGCATGAATGGGGAATTAAGTACAGTGCCTAGAAGGTGAATGATTAAGACAGTTTTTCTGCTCTCATTGAGTTTATAATCTATGGAGGTCATGGGTAGGCAATGACTAGCCAGGTGATAAGTGCTGCTGCAGATGCGTTATAGAGCTAAGTGAGGACTCAGATGTTTGCAACTGAGAACCACATTCGGAAACATGTATGGTTTATTTGAGAACTGAACAGTCCTAACTTTATTCTGTTAATATTAATTTATTAAAAGTTTTGCCAAGTATAATTTGCTTATTAAGGTGTACTAAAGAGGAGATTTAATGTATAGAAACTGGAGGAAACTGGCCTTTACTTGGATATGGCTCCAAGGATGAGGGCAGGTAGTGAGACATCTTTGAAGGACTGGGGTTAGAGAGTAGGACAAATATCCACCTTATAAATTAAAATCCAATAACCCTAGTATTCCTGTGCATGGTAAGCAGGGACCTTAGAGGTCTGTCTGATGCTCAGTTATAACAAGGAGTATAGGCTAAGTTTTTATTTCTTTCTGTTTTTCTCTTAATGATATTTGACTTTTAATTTTAATATATACACACACATTTAATTTTAATATGTACATCTACACCCACATCCATGTAGATGGCTTTGAAAATAAAGTAGTAATAATAATTACTAAATAAATTCAGATAACTTAGTATTTTACATATTGCATTAACATTTTTCATTTAAATTTTTATGATTCAATGTACCTGAGTTATATCGTATTCACAACTTACAAAATTGAGTCATATGCAACATGTCTGCATTAGAAGACTTCAATAGTGGTAACAGTGTCTTACACGATGGGTCATTGGGCTGTCAGTAATTAGATGTGACACAAAATCATTTGGGGTTATGTCCATTAATAGGAGACATAAGGTGTCTATATCCATTTAAATTACTTTTTGTATTATGTGGATAGAGGAACTCTTACCTTTGAGTAATGCTGTCAGGATAGCTAAATCAATGTCCTGGTGTCCTTCTGATCCCATTCGAAATACTGTGATCTGCAATTTGAGACAAGGAGACGATTAACAACACATTTTTCCTCCAGAGAGAATTCAAATCAATGAAACCACTTCTGAGCAGTGACTATTTCACTATCTCTGAAGTAGGATCTTAACCATAGGGCAAGCATACATAATGAGGATTAGAGGAGTGGGCTCTGCCATTCATTAAGAGAGATGTGTCAATAGTCTCCAAATGGGGACTATCTTACATCACTGTATGGATAGTGGTTATGAAGCAAGACTTTCAGGATTCACAAAATACATAAATTGAAACACAACCATGGGTGAGGAACTGTGCTTAAAGATAGATGGCCACTATGTTCTGTAGAAAATGGTCCACATATGTGCACTATAACCATTTCTACACTTACTCCTTAGCAATCATCTGTGTTGGTTAGTTTTTGTCAACTTGACACAGGCTAGACATATCTGGGAAGAAGAATTCTTCACTGAGAAAGTGCCTCCATAAGATTGTCCTGTAGATGAGTCTGTAGGGTATTTTCTTGATTAATGATTGATGTGGAAGGACCCAAGCCACTGTGCACAGTACATTCCTGGGCAGGTAGTCCTGGGGTATACAATAAAGTAGGCTTCTGGAGTTGGAGAGATGGGTCAGTGGTTAAAAGCTCTGGTTGCTTTTCTAGAGGATCAATTTCAATTCTCAGCACCCACATGAGCTCACAGCTGTTTGTATCTCCAGTTCCAAGGACCTAACATCCTCTTCTGTACTGTGTAGGCACCAAGCATGCATGTGGTACACAGAAATACATGTATGCAAAACACTCATGTATACAAAATAAAATAATAATAAATAAAAAAGAAAAAGAAACTAGGCTGAGGAGCAAGCCAGGAGGAGTAAGCCAAGATTCTTCTGTGGTCTTTGCTTCAGTTTCTGCCTCCACATTCCTGTCTTGAGTTCCTGCCCTTACTTTACTCAGTGATGGAGTGTGATCTGGGGTTTGCAACCCTGAAATAAATCCTTTCCTCACCTAGTTGCTTTCAGTCATGGTATTTTATCAGCAATAAAAACCTTAACTAAGACATCATTCAAGGGTTTTGACATTGGGATGCATATCACTGTTCAGCCCTCTCAGTGACTTTGAATATCCTTTAGAATAATCTAGCACTATATCCAGATGGTAAGAAATGGGCAGAAGGCAGTAAAGTAACATCTTTTTCTTGGTAATATAGGAGAGAAATATAGTCTCTGGGGGAGAATAACAGGAAGGAGAGAGAGGAAAAATCAGTGAGGAACTAATTCTTCCCTGAGACTTGACTGTTGGCAAGAGGAAGAGCTGGGAGACTCATTCTAAAGGAGATGTTTTTACTAGCAATTGTTACTGCTACCAAGAACTAGCGATTGGGAATAATATCTACTTTCATGACACTGAAGAATTCCCCTCATAACCTTAAACTTTGCTGACATTAAAAGAAAGTCCCAAGAAATTTTATTTGCATGCATTCACCAAAGGCCCGGGTTTATGTTTCTAGGAGGGATCTTTGATGGGCACACAGGAAACACTGGTGTCCATATTGATGTGCAGCACAGGATTTGTTTCTAAATTGTGTGCCCTGAGAAGTGAGTCTCCTCAGATGACTTTCTTTTTCGCTTTGTAGAATGCTGACTACAGAGAGAAAGTTTCCAGGATTAAAAGGCAAAGACAAGCAGCTTTAGTTCGTGGCATGGGCACTGTGTTTTAGAGGTAGAATTCAACTGGAAGAGGAAGAAAGGGCAGAAGGACACACGTCCCAGGGAAGAGTAAGACTCATTAGTGAATAACTCAGGAAAGGGTACCTCATCCATACTCCAACTGGTTGTTGGAGATGACAGTGATTTGTGGTTAAATATCATTGGTTTCTAGCAGGGATGAACTAAAGGATGGTTTTGGAGCAAAAATTTGCGTGAAAAACTTAGTGAAGGATTTTTGTAACAGAGCAAGGCTTAATCTATTTTAAGGAATCTTCTTGCAATCTTCATAAAGAGTTAGCAAAGATTTTAATGGGAAAGTATAAGGACAGGGAAGTTTGCAAAATAATACACACCCTTAGCTAAGCAATCAGAAAGTACAATTAAAAAGAGATCTACAGCCAAACACCAGGATGAACTCCAGGAGTCCAGTTGAAGAGGGAGAAGAGGGATTCTATGAGCAAGGGGCATCAAGATCATGAAAGGGAAACCTACAGTGACGACCAAACCAAACTAGTGGGAACTCATGAAATTTAGATCAACAGCTGTGGAGGCTGCCTGGGACTGGACTATGCCCTCTACATAGTGAGACGGATGTGTAGCATGATCTTCTTAAGGGGGCCCTAGCAGTAGAATCAGAATCTATCCCTGGTGCATGAGCAGGCCTTTTGGAGCCCACTTCTATGATGGGACACTTCACACAGCCTTGAGGCAGGGGGAGGAGCTTGGACCTGCCTCTACTAAATGTACCTCCCCATGGGAGGCCTTACCTTCTTGTAGGAGGGAATGGGGGGGTGGATTGGGAGGGGGAGGCTAGAGGGGCAGGAGGATGGAAGAGGGGGATCTTTGGTATGTAAAACAAATAGAATTTTTTCTTAATTAAAAAAAATGCCTTTAGCAAATTATAAAAAAAAATAGGCCACTGTTCAGTAACTGAATTTACAGTTGGTTATAATTTCAGTAAAAACTCCAAAAGTGGTTTTGTGGCTTTGATAAAGTGATTCTAGAATTCAAATCTTCATAATCAGGCATAATTGCCATAGAATGGTTTACCAAATCACAGAATTTAAAAGCAGTATGATTTTGAAATTGGGAGCAGTGAGTAAATTATGAAATAGAATACAACCTGGGGACATTCCAACACATGTGTGAGCTAGAATACAACCCGGGGACATTCCTACACATGTGTGAGCTAGAGTACAACTCGGGGACATTCCTACACACATGTGAGCTAGAATACAACCCGGGGACATTCCTACACACATGTGAGCTAGAGTACAACCCGGGGACATTCCTACACACATGTGAGCTAGAGTACAACCCGGGGACATTTCTACACACATGTGAGCTAGAGTACAACCCGGGGACATTCCTACACACATGTGAGCTAGAATACAACCCGGGGACATTCCTACACACATGTGAGCTAGAATACAACCCGGGGACATTCCTACACACATGTGTGAGCTAGAATACAACCCGGGGACATTCCTACACACATGTGAGCCTTTGTAGCCAGACAAAAGGGTCACTGGAAGTCAGAGGGGAGGAAGTCACTTGTTTTCTCCCTTCTCTTCTCCTTTCTTTCCCCCCTTTTCTTCCCACCCCCCTTTTTTGCTCTCCTCTCTTTTCCTTAGTAAAAGGGTCATGCTATGCTGCTGGTTTCAAAGTCACAATCTGTGGCCTCAGCTCCCTTGATACCCAGGACTGTGGGTTTGAATCTCTGCCCTGAACAATAAGTGATGCTGGGACACTGCGTATTTCCATTTAAAAATCTGAATTTCTTTTCTACCTCACAAATCATACGGACAAAATTATAGATGGAATCGATATGCAAAAATGTATAAAAATTTTTGGTTGTGAGCCTAGCCTTTAACGGCTGAGCCATCTCTCCCAGCACTCGGGAGGCAGAGCCAGGCGGATCTCTGTGAGTTCGAGGCCAGCCTGGGCTACCAAGTGAGTTCCAGGAAAGGCACAAAGCTCCACAGAGAAACCCTGTCTCGAAAAACCAAAAAAAAAATGTATAAAAATTTATATAAAATACAGGAGAATATCATAATAGGTAAAGATTTTTCTCATATAATTAAATTCTTAGATTTATTCCCAAAATCAATATAAAAGTACAGATCATATACATTCACATATTATTTTTGTGTTGCATGTGCTCTCAAAATAGTTTTTAAAAATATATGCCACATTTTAAAATTTTAGTTTTGAGATATTTTAATTATAACATTTCTCCTTTCCATTTCTTCCCTCCAGACCCTCCCAGATAACCTTCCTTGCTCTCCATAAAATTCCTGGTTTATTTTCAACTAATTGTTATTGCATTTATGTAAATGTATATGCATATTTATCCCTAAATATTGTCTCCTAGCAATATCAGAAGTTACACCCCTAAAATCTCACCAACATGACTGTCCAAACATGTTCTAAAAATAGTTATTTTAGAGCTATTGATCCTAGCTGTTATATGCTTTGATTAGATAATCTTCTATGACTTTTTTTTATGCCTGGAGTCTACTAAAATATGTCCTCTTTATGGAGCATGGCACTTCAGTTATGCCTATTTTATCTGAATGTGCCATATGATAACCCTCCTTCCATGTCCCATCCATGGTTTTATTGGTTGACTTCCCTAAATCCTTATGTTGAAACCTAAGGCCAGTGTGATGCCTATAGGATGCAGGGTTTTAGGTCTTGATTAATGATTGCCATAAATTAGTGTCATTATAAGAGAGCCCATAGAGAACTACCTCATTCCTTTACTATGTGAAGACACAGTCAGAAGGTGCCACTTAGGAACCAGAAAGTGGCCTCTACATCTGCGGCACCTTGATTCTGGACTTCTTATCATCAGAAGTAAATTTCCACTATGTATAAGACACCTATGTTATAGCATTTTGTTATAGCAGCCTGGGTGGACTATGACCCTTTTCCCAGTTAGAGAAAGTCCTGTTTTTTTTGGGGGGGGGCATTTTTTATGTGTCAGGAATAGTGATACGTATTTTCAAATACACTACCTGCAATTCCTCATTTTATATAAAAAATAAATGTGTCCATCTACATAAAGATGAACATACAAAATACACAATCAACAAATCATTGCTATGAATATTTAGATTAGATGGAAAAATTAATAACTCTTAATTATCTATGCCTAGAACTCCTAAATATCTATTCAAAGCTGATCATAGAGCCACTTAATAAATCAGATGATAGCCTTGCACAAAACAAGTGATAAAAGCACATTTCAGTGTTGGTGGAGGACAGCTGACCATGGATTTGGCACTAGGAATGTGTGACTGTC